TTTGAGGCTATTCCCTTTGCCCAGTTCCACTCCAGATCTCTTCATTCCCACATATTTACAATGTAGAGAAAATAAATCCAATCTTTTGATGATCTGTCAGTTGATGGAGTTTTGATGAATGCTTTTGTTCCGTCAGATAAAGCTCTTCCTGACATGGTGGGTCTCCAATCCTGTCCTCAAGTTGGAAAAGTCTTTGCTTCACATGCCCCGGAATGTGGTGACAACGGTTGCCAGCCTTAAAGGCTGGAGCAGAGTTTGCAATTCTCAGACTGTCCAAAGGATCTGGTCCCCACAGGAGTCAAAATTTCCCATCAACATTGTGAAACATAACCATCAGATTGTCTCTACAGCACTGGACCTCTCTTCTGCAAGGTCACTCAGTCAAGATACAGTCTGATAATGCTACGACAGTGGAATTAAACCATTACTGACACCACAGAAATCAGTCTTGCCTAAAAGAAACAAGCCTGATGCACTCCTGGGAAGAAAATCACATTCCAGCTCTGAGCTGTCCACATACCTGGAGTGGACAATTGGCAGGTGGACTTCCTAAGCCATCAACGCCTTAACCTGAGGGGGTGGTGTCTTCACCTAGAGATCTTTTAAAATCTCTGTCCAAGGTGTGGAAACCAGATGTTGACATTGTGGCTTCCAGGTTCAACATCAAGCTGAACAGGGATCCTCTGGCCATTGCAGTGAATGCTCTGATATTTCTTTTTTACTATGCCTTTCCTCCAGTGAAAATCCTCAGTCAATTGCTGATCAAGATAGAGTTTCAGTGAAGCTCATTGCATCAATTTGTCCTCCAAAGAATGTGGTACACAGACATACATAGACTTTTGGCAGACAAGCTTTGGCCTCTTGCAAACGGACCAAACCTACTAGCTCAAGGCCTCCAATTTCATCCTGTTTCTTAGTTGCTGGCTTCAATGATACTGTTGAAACCAAGTCCTATAGAATAGGGCTATTTCTGACCCTGTTATTCCCACTTTACCTGGGAAAATCCAACTCCAGCAAGATGTACCATCATACATGGAAACTTTACTGCCTGTTGTGAGGACAAAAAGTTGAGTCAGAGGGAATTCACTTAATACTCATGTTTCTTGTCTTAAAGTCTGATCTTGACCATGTCCGGCCCACAGTACCATCAAGGGACAGGTTTCTGTTTTATCCATCTTATTTCAAAAACCTCTTTCCTCTCCATCCCTTATCAAGACTTTTGGAGTTGCTCATATAAATCTCCCAATTTGACCTCCTGTGTCACTTTGTGTTCTCATCCTGAAGCTCTCTGTACATCAGAGACCTCCCTTTTGAGCCAATTAGATACATTCCTTTGGAAGACCTCAATTGTAAGAATGCCTTTGTCATAGCCATTATTTTTTTTAAGTGTGTTTCTGAATTGGAAGCTCTTTCTTGTGAAAAGCCCTTTCTTGTTTTACACCAGGACAAAGTGTTAAGACCAAAACTTTCCTTCCTACTCATGGTGGACTCTTCTTACCACCTCAGTGAGGGCATTGTTTTTCATTTTTCTCTGTCCTGTCCTGAAACATGACAAGGAGAGTGCCCTACATTGCCTGAATGTGGTCAAGGCTGTCAAGGTTTACCTGAAAGCTACAGCCTTTCTTTGCAAGACTGAGGCCCTCTTTGTCCTGCCTGTGAGCCGTCACGAAGTGCATCTTTCTTCTTCCCACTCCAACATTGCTAGGATTGGATGAGGCAACTCATTTCTGGGGCATTTGGGGCCATATCACATGGGCTGTTGGTGTCTCTTGGGCTTTGCAACATCTTCTCAGATTTCCAAGTCCACCTCAACCACCCAGTCCTCTGTTTAAATGTTCTCTAAGTTTTACAAGGTAGATGTTCAGGCCTCAGCTGATGCCAAAAGGTGCTTCAAGTTGTTATCTGAATGTTTTTGTTCAGGTTCTTTAACCCTTGTTTTCTTGTGGGCCTATTGGCAGTTCTGTTTACTATGTTGATGCCCACCCCTCAGTTTATTACTCGGGTACATTCCATGGTCTATGAATACAAGTACTGTTTCCTGTACTGTATGATTAAGATGATAGCACGTTTGATTTGCCTGTAAATTCCTTATCTTGGAGTACAATACAGTCCCCCTCCCTTCTGCTCCTTGATCACTCCTTATTGCTTGCTAAAAAAAAAATTGGAGTCTCACAGAGTGGGCAAGGTTATATAATGTGCTCTCTGCACAGCGCTTTTTTTTTTGCCAAGGAAACTGCATATAACCCATGGTCTATGAATACAAGTTCTGTGTCCTGCACCGTACTCCAAGATGAAGAATTTACAGGCAAGTCAAAATCCCTATTTTTCTTGTTTTGGTGGAATACGGATGAGTTTCAATCTTGTTTTCAGTGTTGCTTGTCTTTTTATTTCAAAACGAACAACTAACCCCCCATTCTCCGCTAATACTATTCAATACCAATAGTGGACCAAAAAATGGAAACCACGAAGGAATGGGAAATTTGAACAATATGCTAAATAAAATAAAATTCAAGAATTTAATACTGTGGGGTAATATTAGGATAATAGTAGAATGCTTTTTTAATGACCGGTTTACAGGTTCTAAATTATAGTAATATGAACTTCTAAAGAGCTGTGACTTCAAATACATAGGTGGAAAATGGTTATCCTGACAATACATGGGCCCTAAATGGGGATATGTATACAACACAAAGGCAGAAATCAGACAATTGTTACAATAAGCAGACCGAAAATAGGCAATTATTACAATCTGCAGACAGAAAACAACCAATCGTGACAATATGTAGGAAACAAGTTAACAAACCTGACAGTGTGCGGGCAACAAATACATCAGTGGTTCATATAGTGAACTCGGTGTAGAGTTATTCACCCTGAGGTCATCACAGAGGACAAGGGGGCACTCTGCGATGTCACTAGTGTCCGGTAAATGGATAGGCTGCACTCTGCGATGTCACTAGTCTCCGGTAAATGGATAGGCTGCACTCTGTGACGTCACTAGTCTCTGGTAAATGGATAGGCTGCACTCTGCGATGTCACTAGTCTCCGGTAAATGGATAGGCTGCACTCTGCGATGTCACTAGTCTCCGGTAAATGGATAGGCTGCACTCTGTGACGTCACTAGTCTCTGGTAAATGGATAGGCTGCACTCTGTGACTTCACTAGTCTCCGGTAAATGGATAGGCTGCACTCTGCGATGTCACTAGTCTCCGGTAAATGGATAGGCTGCACTCTGTGACGTCACTAGTCTCCGGTAAATGGATAGGCTGCACTCTGCGATGTCACTAGTCTCCGGTAAATGGATAGGCTGCACTCTGTGACGTCACTAGTCTCCGGTAAATGGATAGGCTGCACTCTGTGACGTCACTAGTCTCCGGTAAATGGATAGGCTGCACTCTGCGATGTCACTAGTCTCCGGTAAATGGATAGGCTGCACTCTGTGACGTCACTAGTCTCTGGTAAATGGATAGGCTGCACTCTGTGACGTCACTAGTCTCTGGTAAATGGATAGGCTGCATTCTGCGATGTCCCTAGTCTCTGGTAAATGGATAGGCTGCACTCAGTGATGTCATTAGTCTCTGGTAAATGGATTGGCTGCACTCTGTGATGTCACTAGTCTCCGGTAAATGGATAGGCTGCACTCTGCGATGTCACTAGTCTCCGGTAAATGGATAGGATGCACTCTGCGATGTCACTAGTCTCCGGTAAATGGATAGGATGCACTCTGCGATGTCACCAGTCTCCGGTAAATGGATAGGCTGCACTCAGTGATGTCACTAGTCTCTGGTAAATGGATAGGCTGCACTCTGTGACGTCACTAGTCTCCGGTAATTGGATAGGCTGCACTCTGTGATGTCACTAGTCTCCGGTAATTGGATAGGCTGCACTCTGCGATGTCACCAGTCTCCGGTAAATGGATAGGCTGCACTCTGTGATGTCACTAGTCTCCAGTATAAGGATAGATTGCGTTCTTCAGTGTATGTATGAGCTGCATTCTGGATGATGGCACTATTTTCTAGTGAATAGACAGGATTTATTTTCAGTGACAATCACCAGCCTTTAGAGGCTGCATTCTCTGTGATGTCAGTGGTCTGTAGTGACTAGAGAGCCTCTGTTGTCAGTGATGCCCCTGATCTCCAGTGAACAGATTCCCGTGTATTTGCCTACAGACATTTTGGGTAAGGTATACATTGTTTTCCTGTATGGATACCTACAGTACATAACAATCAGCATTATCTATGAAAGGTTCTATAATTAATCCTGCTTTAATTAATCACCTTGTCGCTGTTTGATGTTCATTTTGTGAACTTGGCATTATTTTTAGGAATCTCAAGTGGCTGAAATCAGTGGGAATTTTCTGTGTGTGATTAAATGTAATCACTTGAAGCTGCTGAAGTGCCGGCATTTGCTGTGCCATTAAAAGTCTGTTTATTAGCAGACGATAACTGGCAGAACGTGTTGTGTGTGCCGGGTATTGTTCTTGGAATTAAAATGTAAAATGTTATCATTAGGGTGTTTTATCTACTTTTTTCTGAAAATGTTCCAGCTAACTTAAAGCAGACGTACCAGTCTTTTTAAAGGGAACCTGAATTTAACCGCTAGCCTACAGGGCACTTATACCCCGTTCCTGCCCAGGCCAATTTCCAGCTTTCAGCACTGTCACACTTTGAATGACAATTGCACGGTCATGCAACACTGTCCCCATATGAAATTTTTATAATTTTTTTTTGAGACAGATAGAGCTTTCTTTTGGTGGTATTTAATCACCTCTGGGATTTTTATTTTTTCTTAAACAAACCAAAAACCACTGAAAATTTTGGGGAAAAAAAAGTTTTTTCTTAGTTTTTGTTATACAATTTTTTAAATAAGTGATTTTTTTTTCCTTCACTGATGTGCGCTAATGAGGCTGCAGTGATGGGCACTGATAGGCTGCACTGATGCACACTGATAGGTGGCACTGATGAGGAGGCACTGGTAGGTTGCACTGATGGGAATTGACAGGCATCACTGATGGGCACTGAAAGGCAGCACTGATACACGGCACTGATGCGCACTGATAGGCGACACTTAGTGGCACTGATAGGCAACACTGAGTGGCAGCACTGATAGGCACTGATGGGTGACATTGAAAGGCATCTCAGATGGGCACTGATATGTGGCACTGATGGGCACTGGCACGTGGCACTGATGGGCACTGGCACGTGGCACTGATGGGCACTGGCACGTGGCACTTCTGGGGCCACACTGATCACCAGGGCACACTGATCATCAGTGCCCTGATGATCAGTGTACATGTCTCCTCGGCGGAAAGCCGATTACCGGCTCTCCTCTCCTCTGTCAGCGTGACAGCTCGAGAGGAGAGAAATGCCGATAACCAGCATTTCCGTGTTTACATGTGATCAGCTGTGATTGGACACAGCTGATCACATGACCGAGCTGACATCTTCGGCTCTTTCCGTGATCTACTGTGTCCGAGGGACACAGCGCACCGGCGATCGGTGCGCATGGGCAGCGAGAATGGTAGGACGTCATATCAGAACGAGAGAACCACCTTGCGCCCGTCATTGTACTATAGGGAGGGCGGAAGGTGGTTAAACAGTGAAGATTTTCTGAGTTAACAGTAAACATTTAGAAGCATTAAATTTGCCAAAGCAATATCCTGAAAAGCTTTTATTTTGCCTTTTGGATTTCACCTGTGCCTTTAGCTGCATAGCTGTGTATCTGCAGTGTGAGATCATATAAGGTACTGCTGCCTCTGACTGCTAGTCTCAGGAGATGAGGAGTCAGATTTGGTGATATCACTACTGTGCTGCTCACGTTCTCCTTGCTAGAGAGAAAGCCGTACCTGAGGACCTGCAGTGCAAGGATATCTCTGCTTATGTTTCATTCTTTGGATCTGTTCTTTATTCACCTGTTCTGCTGCTTCTTGAATATTCCCCTACCAGTCATCACCATTACATTAGACCGTGTAAAGTCAGAAAAGAATGGTGTGTGAGCCAACAAACATACACTACCGCCAATAAATTAAGTTGAAAAATATACTAATAATATATCCAGTCCCCTTCCAGATATAAAGTGCTTGAGTGAAGAAATGGCAAACCCTGCACTCTGGGATGGACTCTGTATGGATAGGACCACATAACAAATTTCTTGGGATATGCATGCCTTGCTGCCCTCAAATGACTGGGGAAGTCCAAATATACGTAGTAGAGAAAAACAGAGGGCATACCGGCCTAGTGCATTACCTTAAATATTTATTAAATAACAGTAGGTGTTGTACTCACAAAATGACAATACAGTCAAAGGCATATCAGCAACAGCTCCGTCCAATCCGCACTACGTGTCGGTCTGTAATGGGAACTCTGGACCTCCAACAGGCTGACGCGTTTCGAGGACTTGCCCCCAGATATTTTGGTCTGGGTACATTTTTCCAAAGGGGACCGCCTAGTTCCCCTTTTTTTTTTTTTTTAAGGGGCTCCACCTTAGCTAAGGACTCGGGGAGGGAAACACAAATGTTGTTGCTGTGCCTTTACTGTATAGCCTAGCCAGTCAGTGAGAGTCAGGACTGCACTGTTTGCCATTGGTGGTTTGCTTTGTTTCCTACTATTCTGCAGGTTCCAGTACGGCTGTCTTCCCTACATCGAAGAACAAGAAGGTTTGTTGTTGATTAAGGGCCTCCTTCTGGGAGGAGGTGCTTTGTCTTTAATGCAAAATTAATGCTGTTTTTGTATGTACATTTCTGTTGCTCTGTTCATGTTTTCCTGCTGCTAGACTAGTTAGCCTCAGTCAGGGTGTAAATAAATTTTCATGTAAATTTGTACATATACAGAACTTTTTTTTTTGTCTAATATTTATTTGTAAATATGCTAATATTCTTTTTCACCATCCAAGTTTGTACCCTTTTCCCCCTCCCAGTTTTGTTTGTATAGGATGCCCTGCTCTTGGGCTCAGGAGCCTTTTTTGTTCTTTTGCCCCCAGCCAATGAGGCCATTTTAGTGGGGGGGGGGGGGAATGTAGCACCCTCTTAGTTTAGTTAGAGGGAGTTAGACTCCAATGGTTAGACAGAGGCTGAGCAGCAGCCCAGTTGTAATAGCCAGAGGGATCAAATTGTGGTCAAGACTGAGCGGCTCTGCAGGTCAGTCCGTCTGTAATTTCCCCTCTTTCTAGGAATTTTGGAGGAAAGCCTTAGAGGCAGTGGGTGGATCCGAGGATCCGCTGGCTGCACTTTTGAGGGGTCCTAGCCAATTCCCAACAAGAGGTTGGCAATGGACTGGACACCATTAAAAAGTGTTGGAGCCTGCTCAGTAGGGGAGTGTGGAGTGTGCAGGGAGTCGGGTGGAAAAAGGAGAGAGGAAGGTGTGAGGCTGTGAGCAGAAGGCACCATGTGAGGTTTCTTTGTATGGATGGATTACATGGGTTGTTACTGACGTGGTGAAATGTCATGTCAATAGCACCTTAAGAAATATATTTACTGTGAAAAATGGTGATGTGTTTAATACTTATATCACCCTGTGTGTGTGTGTGTATATATATATATATATATGTATATATGTGTGTGTGTGTGTGTATATATATATATAGTGATATATAAATATATATATATATATATGAGTGAAGGAAATAAGTATTTGATCCCCTGCTGATGTTGAATGTTTGCCCACTCGCAAAGAAATGATCGGTCTAAAAATCGAATGTTCGGTGTATTGTAACACTGAGAGACAGAATAGCAAAAATGCAAAAGAAATGCATCTCTAACGAATTATGCACTGATTTGCATGTTCATGAGGGAAATAAGTATTTGATCCCCTATCAATCAGCAGGATTTCTGGCTACCAAGTGTCTTTCATACAGGTAACAAGCTGAGATTAGAAGCAGTCTCTTAAAGGGAGTGCTGCTAATCTAATTTTGTTACCTGTATAAAAGACACCTGTCCACAGGCGCAATCAATCAGATTCCAAACTATCCACCATGGCAAAGACCAAACAGCTGTCCAAGGATGTCAGGGACAAGATTGTAGACCTACACAAGGCTGGATTGGGCCACCAAACTATCGCCAAGCAGCTTGGTGAGAAGGTGAGACACAATTGGTGCAATCATTCGCAAATGGAAGAAACACAAAACATCTGTCAGTCTCCCTAGGTCTGGTGCACCATGCAAGATCTCACCTCGTGGAGTGTCAATGATCATGAGAACAGTGAGGAATCATCCTAGTACTACACATGAGGATCTTGTCAATGATCTCCAGGCAGCTGGGACCACAGTCACCAAGAAAACAATTGGTAACACACTACGCCGACAAGGATTGAAATCCTGCAGTGCCCGCAAGGTCCCTCTGCTCAAGAAAGCACATGTCCAGGCCCGTCTGAAGTTTGCCACTGAACATCTGAATGATGCAGAGGAGGACTGGTGGGAAGTGTTGTGGTCAGATGAGACCAAAATCGAGCTCTTTGGCATCAACTCAACTCGCCATGTTTGGAGGAGGAGGAATGCTGCCTATGACCCCAAGAACACCATCCCAACTGTCAAACATGGTGGTGGAAACATTCTGCTTTGGGGGTGTTTTTCTGCTAAGGGGACAGGACAACTGCATCACATCAAAGGGACGATGGACTGGGCAATGTACCGTCAAATCTTGGGTGAGAATCTTCTTCCCTCAGCCAGAGCATTGAAAATGCGTCGTGGATGGGTGTTCCAGCATGACAATGACCCAAAACACACGGCCAAGGCAACAAAGGAGTGGCTCAAGAAGAAGCACATTAAGATTCTGGAGTGGCCTAGCCAGTCTCCAGACCTTAATCCGATTGAAAATTTGTGGAGGGAGCTGAAAGTTTGAGTTGTCAAACATCAGCCACCAAACCTTAATGACTTGGAGAGGATCTGCCAAGAGGAGTGGGCCAAAATCCCTCCTGTGATGTGTGCAAACCTGGTGGCCAACTACAGGAAACATCTGACCTCTGTGATTACCAACAAGGGATTATCCACCAAGTCATGTTTTGTGAAGGGGATCAAATACTTATTTCCTTCATGAACATGCAAATCAATGCATAATTTTTATAGTCCTGCAAGGCAATCTGCACTCTCCAGAGTCGGTAATCAATCCTTGAGCTTTGTTTTGTTGTTTTATTAAGGGATGCCCAAGGGTACCGATAACTGAGGACAAACTTCCTTGAACGATTTACAAGCTTCTCTTCTGCAGCACAGTCTCTGATAGGGAGCTAGCCAGTGCCTCCACAATGTACCACCCCAGACCCTAAATGTAATTTTTCTCTTCACCCAGCAAACTAGAAGTTTTCCAGAGCAGGGGATCCTGCTCCTGTCCCTTTCAATGGATGAACAGTCACAAGCAGGTTGCAAATCAGAGTGCTCCTTCCCCTAATCTCCAAGGGGGTGCAGGTGTACTCACTCAGATCCTCTTTTACCTCTTTTGGGTTGGCTTCTGCTACCAGGATTATCAGCTGGGCTGCACCTTCCCTGCCATACAGGTGGTCCTCCCTCAGGGGGCCAGTGAGTTCCAAGCTTTCTCCCATTCCAGCTTCAGGCCTGCAGATAGGCCCCATCCGACTGTGCCTACTTGCAGCCTCCTGCTCACAGCTTCACATCTTCCTCCTTCCACCCAAACTCTCCCACACTCCCCTACTGAGTAGGCTCCAACATTTTTTAAGAGTGTCCAGCCCCTTTCCAACCTCTTGTTGGGGATTGGTTAGGACCCCTGTCTGGATTGGCACGGACACCTGGGCTGCTGCTCAGCCCCTGTCTAACCATTGGAGTCTAGCTCCCCCTAGGTAAGTAAGGAGGGTGCTACATTTACATATATCCATGTGGTGTTCTTCTCAAAACAAAGTGCACTAAAAATGAATTGAAAATTAAAACTGCATACAAATGGTTAAAAAAAAATAGTTAAAATGGAGAAAAACAGCTTGGAGGGAGGGACTGTTTCACTTGGAGTAAAGCTTTGTAATCAAAAGTATTAGTTCACTGAGTAGTTGATGCTTGGAATAAACATCCAGCAGAGGTAGTGAGACAACCAACAGTAAATGGCTTCAAACATGCTTGGGTCATACATAGATCTATATTCAGACAAAGATAATGTAATAAAAAATTGGGCAGGCTCGATGGACAAGTCTTTCTGCCATCACGTTTCTATGGCAATACCTGAGTTTTTGGTCATTCAGCCTGCCATACATAGTGGATGATGAATATCCATTGCAGCTATTGTATTTTGACAGCGGTCCCAGCAGGCTCCTTTGACAAAAGTTGCTCAAATGATCTTTAGAAACTGACATTTTGACCCTCCAGGTTTTTGTTGTTTTTTTTTTTTTTTTTCAAATACGCTGAGCGCAATAAAATCAAAGTTTCCCAGTAAAATATTTGCTGAAATTCTTACCCCTGCACTTGTTTTTTTTTCCGAATTTCA